TTTTGATGTTTTGAGCTCTTTTGTGTTTAGAACAATATATACTACTTTTTTATAGTATCAAATTGAATTTTTGTTCAATAAAAATATTTCAAATGCGACTGTAGCTTTTTTCCCCAAAAACTTTGTCTTCAAAATAAGGATGCGTCTCATATTCCAAAAAATACGGTATATAGTACTACAGTAGTTATTGTATGCAGAACGAACATTTTGGAGTCGCGTAACAAACACTGTAGCTTCCAGTTAATATTTCTTATCGTTTTTCAAACCAAGTTGCTAGAAATTATTAATACAGTTTCTAAATGTTTGCAAAGTGAAAAAATTGTGTTAGACAAAGCAGTTAAGCACTTACATGATGCCATAAAATCGTATTCAGGAAACCCTGAACGTAAAGAACTGTTATCCTTTATTAACAATCATGCTAATTCGTGGATTGTCGTGACCTTTTCGTTATATACTTTTAAACACATGCGAAAAGAATGTAACTGGCTTGGGAATTCACAAGAAATATCTGCCTTATACTAATCAGCGAGCCTCGTTGCCTGTTCATATAAGTCCTCGTCACTTGCAGAAACTAAGTTTCCGGGGAACAAAGTGCTGAGATTGTCGGCAACACCGCGAAGTCCTTCAAATCTGTTTGTCAACTGATAAGTTACAACATTTAAACATTTATAAAATGCATGAACCTTGAAGTACTTTTCATTATCAGAAAGTCTCTCATCTTCATATAACACATCAAACTGTCGTTTTACTTTTCTTGCACGCTTCAGATGAAATTTTCTTTCAACTCCCCTTTTATTGGCAATATCTGTTGCTGCACTTTTAATGTCATCATAGTTGTTTCTTGAATTTATAAGTGTTGACTGCAATTTCATTATTTCGTACACTCCTTGTCACTGTCGCAAGTACTAAAATATCTTTTTCAAAACTTAAATGAGTAAAAAACGATTTAAGAAGTTCTATGACTCAAACCGATTAACTTTGTTTGAAGTTAAGCACAAAGCTACACATTGGGTTGTCTGTGCTCTGCCCACCACAGGTGTCGAAACCCAGTTTATAGCGGTTTAAGTCCGCATACATACCATTGTGCCACTGAGGGGCGACCGATTAAGTATACTTTCAATTATATCATTTGAAAATAAAAAACTCGAAGCATTAACTTGGATGAAATTACAAACATATGTTTAATATGTTAGCAAAAACATCGGCTTATTTGTTTTTCGTATTTTTGTAAAGTCCAGTAATAACCCGAAGGGTTCTATGAGCAAGAAATGACCATAGACCAATGTGCCACACCCACTTCCAAAAATATTATTTACTCTTATCTTCTGAAAAATAAAGGGCGGGGCAGATCATTTCTTTGCCTTGGAGCTCGTGAACTTCTTGTTTCGCCACTGTCTCCTGAGTAATGTTTTACAAGACGAAACTAAGAACGTTTATGGCTTCTTTTATAGCATAGTCCATCCAAATGTATAATATATTATTATAGTATTGCGTGCTATTTTACCTTTTATCCCCCTTTTACTGTAGCCTTCTTTTCATATTGCAGCAGTTCGACTATGTCATCTGTATAGATAAATAGTTTATCACATGGATATTTCACTGGATCTGATGTTTCAGGGCAGAATCTCCTGACATTCTTGAATGGGAGTTTTCATTTTAAACGTCAGTTTTTTCAATTATACAAAACAACGAAGTGCACAAACTGATTCTTTCTTTAGTTTCTAGCAGTCTAAATTGCAAGTACATGAACTTTCAAGATTCATACGTTAGTTGGGATCTAGATTTCATTTTGGACTTTATCCACAAAGATTTTGAAAGCAGGGGATAAAATTCAAGTAGGCATTACTTATATCGTTAATATTTTTATTTTAAATTATCCATATATGACTAAAATTCTGAGATTGTTTGTTTATTTGCTTGTCTGTAATTAAATAGCAAAAACGTCGCACAATAGCGTCATATTTGTAAAAAACACGGTATTCCTGAAATGAGAATAGAAAAAGAATAAAACAAGTTTTGTTAAAATCGGGCCACGGGTTACCGAGTTAGCACCGTTTTTCAGGTAATTTTTATGAAAATTTCTAGCATGAGTAATTTTACATCACACTACCATTCGCTCTCTTTACGAAACTTCTTACTTCACTTTTCGAAAAATGAAATGGTCTTTCCTTTTGCTCCCGATCAACAATTAATTATCTTTTCTTGAATTATGAATAATACGAATGGATTGAAATATTTAATTAAATTATCTCAAAATAAACCTACATTTCGGTGCAATATTGAAATTAGCTTGAATTCTTCATAACCTCCGAATAGTGGGTGACCCAACGGGTCACGATGGTCTTGTATGTTTATAAATCCTTAATATTTATCATTTTCTTATTTTATTAATGTATCTACTGTACTTTAACAATCATAAGTGTCCCTGACCCTTTATGAAGCCCCAATACCTAAGCTGCTAAGATTCATTCCTTCAAAATTTGGTGTCTACTGCTAAGAGGGTTAGGTCTGACTTGTCTTTTAATATGAACATTGACTCTAGAACACGTTCTTTATTCTATTTACAAAGTACTTTGGGAGAACTAAGTTTCCATCAAAAATTACTCTTGGCAAGATTATTTTATTTAGAATTATATTTAAATTACATAATCACGTGCTTATAGATTAGTACTAAGGAAAAATAGTAGTGTTGTAAGCTATATTTTAATGTTATAATTAGTGTAGATATTATTGATTAATTTATTTTGTGAGTGAATATTTTATAATTGTCTAATTTTGTTCACAACAAGAGAGTTAGAAGCAATTATTTTAAAGTAAATGTTATGATAAGTTTAGTTACGTAAATGGTTAGAGTCATATTTGTGTATAACTCAATTGATGTCGAGATCATAGAATGTCGCGTGAAATATATTGATGCAGAGAATATAGCGAGCAGACGATTAAGTAATAAACATACAAATAGTGTGAGATGAGCGGGAAAAGTAAACAGACAGACAAAGACAGAGCAGACGAGAAGTAAAGTTACGAGAAGGAATTCGGCCGAAGAAAAGTTAATCGTCGTAGGAGTGAAAGGCCTAATGGTTGGTATATTAGAGTGAGACTAACGGTGTTGAAAGAGATAAGAAGAATAGTTTATTTCGTCAAAGAGAGATCTAAGTTAATTTAACTAGCCTCAGTGGACTTTGACAAATAGACAGACAATTCTCGAAAATACAAAGAGAGAAAAAGAAGCAGACGATTTTAGAAGTATAGGATACAACAGTGTTCGCTCGACGATAAAATAAGTGAACCATACACAAATAGTTTGGTGATAGTTGTAGAGAAAAATAGTTTGGCTTGTCAACTGAAATTCTAAAGCAATTGAATAGGCCTAAGTGGACTTGTGACAACAAGAAGAGAACTATATAATGTTTATAAAATGCCTATGATTTCTATAGTGTAAAGAATTTGTTGTGCATATACCTAATTAGTTCTGAAGATATATTATTTTGAAAACAAGTGGAGTGAGTGCTGTTCGTTTATTTTTGAATTTATTGCCAACAAGTCACAGACACCTACTGTAGAAAAACCCTAAGCCCAACAGCAACACAGTGTATATTTATACTATTAAGAAGCTTAAGTAAAAGACTTTAATTGACAATTGGCTAATATAACTTAACATCTTACTTAGATACTCCTCGTGAAATGATTGATTCATTGGCACATAACCAATTTATAGATGCCATAACAAATGAGGATATGAGAATTAAGCTTAAGCAAAGTAGGTGTATAATAAGCTCTGCAGTTGCTGATGGAAATTAAATCCATTAAGGTTGCAGATAAACAATTAAAGATACTATCTCGAAGTTAT